ACTGTGGCGCCGCGCGCGGAGTCTCCCATGAGTTTTTGCACTCGTGCGTCGGGAGCGGGCAGATACTCTCCGGGACAGATGACGATAAGCCACGCAATTTTTTCCGCCCGTCAACTACCGTCGCTCGGGGCTCGCAGGACTTTGCTTTTGTTGCCCCTCTGCGTACACTCGGCCGAAGGGTAGTACAGTGTCCTAGTGCGTAGCCAGGGTAAGCCGACAAGTCTCCCTCCGAAGCCAACGCGAGCGCCTTTGCTCTCACTCGAGCAACCGGGCCTTGGTCCCGGTATCTCCGTGAATCACCTTTACCACGGAGACGTGTTCGTGGCACCCTGTGTAGTACTTTTATGCCCGTGGCGTGGATAAGCCCATTAGCTTTCCCGCCGCGCCTTTGCAACGGGCTGTACTGCGTTTGGTGTTGCCACAGACAATAAAGTGTTGCGACCTTGAGCAGTATCGTGGTCTCGGCACGGCGATGGTTAAAGCGTGCCCTGCGGCTCGCTAAGACCGGACCCACGCTAGTGGCCGCACTCCTTTGGGATGCGTGTACACTACACTATTCACCAATTTTCTTGCGCAGAACATCAAATAAATGTTTTGTTCACTCTCTCCACAGCAAGACTATCGTCTTTCGATGACATTTGCAGATTAACATGCAGATACAGGGCCACTTTTTATTATGCATGTTCACCTTCTTTAATTATTCAATTATGACGTGTGCACTTGAACTGGAACCTAAGCACGATAACCCAAACTAAATGAAAAGCGAAACGCAGGGCAAGTCCGTAATGTATGTTCACTTTTTAGGAAACAAAAACAATGTCGAGTATCTTGTTGGGAACGTACAGCATGAATTGACCAGTTCCTATTCGCAATACAAACAAACGTAGCAGAGCAAAGAAATATTTGCAGTGCGAGACAAGTGAGGTGGGCGAGCGGCTGATGAATGACATTGAGTGGCACATCTTGTTAAACGTTTTTTAATTGTGCCATAATGTGCCTTTTGTGAGCACGCAAAACAGTGAAAAAGCAAAAAAGAAGCATGTGCATGCAGTTGTACATTTATCTTTTCTGCGTTGTGTGCGACCGAAAAGATTGAAGTTATCATGCACCGTTTGCGCAAATAACGCCCACTTTGCACCCATTTTGCATTCATTCCTGTAGCGTTCAACAGTTTCAAAGGACGAACACATATGGGGAAGAAGGCAGAAAATATGAACGACGACACGAATCAGGAAAGCAGTAATATGGCTTATGAGAGGCTGATATACATATGCTTTTGATAGCATTTTGTGGGAATGTTTCGCTGTTAAAGTTCGGGGAACAACTTATTTCTCGCGTCATTATACTGTCTGGCCGTAGATAGTGTCATTTCAACCAAATATCATGAACTTTGCTGATTTACATAAAACAATAAAAAAAGACCTTAACTGTAGCAGACTACTGTGTGTGATCGATTTTCCGTCTCATTCTGAAAATATCAGTGTGTTTTCTTTTCTCTGTGACACGCCGAGGACCAATCTGTATTATTCAGAGACTTGGCGCAGTAAACATGGTATCATGTTTTCATTCTCAGAAAGGTTTACATACGGGCGGAAAAACTGAGCTTACAAAATAGATCGTATGTTTCTGAGAACATGTTAACAGTATTTATACTCTAATAGAAGCCTTTCTAAATACACAAAGCATTTATTATTCCACCCTTTAGTTTTTCTTCAAGCAACCGCGTCCTGTTCAATGAGTGGCTACTTCTGCCACTGTGGTCACGTCAGTGTCCCGAAGAAAAATGACATTAAATGTAACGTTTGGTCGGTTAACGGTTCATTCTACGCCCACTCAAACAGAAACAGAATGAATAGTTCATTCAGGAGTACAATAACAAAAGACAAGGCACTATGTGCCACCGATCGCCCCCTGCGCAGCTTACGCGAATGCGCCACGAACGCACTCCAATAGACAGCAGCGTCCCCTTCGCCTGCATCAGCGGCGCAGACATGGCCTTGCATAGGGTTGGCGAGGAGACTGCAGACTAGCCAGTATATTCTAGGAACCATAGCCACGGCTAGCGATCGCCCCAGTGTTGCCAGACTCTCAGGCCACTCCCTGGTTTATAAAAATATTCTATTATAAATTAACGGCTTGATCAAATTTGCACAAATTTCACCAGCTTGTCCGTGAGCATACAAGAATCAACCCACACAACACAGTTGTAGTTGAAAATTGGATGTCATGATCCCTTTAAGGGGGGACACGGGTCTTGGAAGACCAAAAATTGCAAAAAAATCGACTTTTTGAAGCTGACATTTTCGGAATCTGTACCTATTTTTGCATCTAAGAAGTTTCTAGCTTCTCGCGTCATTATTTCTGGCACAAAATCAATTTATAACACCCCTGTGAGATGAATGTGAGCGCAAATTGACGCTAAAATGGTGCTTTTTCCGCGCGAAACTGTTGCCGTTACACCCGGGCTATCGTGTTCATCTTGATCTCGTTTGGAAAAGTCGTTCTTCATCTTCAATTTCCTGCCACCGCTGGCTCGCCTTGCTCATTGGTTTTTTAGCAAAGACGCGTCATCGAGAAGCACTAGCGCACAATTCTATTGGCTGCTTGGGGCACGTGACAAAACCTAGCCATCAGATTGGCCAAGTGGCGTTTTCGGCATCTACTTCACAATCGTGACGCGCACGGACATTCGCCATTTTGTCATGGTGGTACTGACTGCCTGCGGCAATAAAGAAGTTCCGTGCGACAGTAATTTGTGAATCGGGTGTGGCGATCGTTCGTTCCCTGTAATCTTCAGAATGAACCCTGCTATGGCTCAGGACAACGAGAATAACGAACTAGCCGTGGTCAACGGTGGTCGCCGAATCACCGTTGTAGGCCTAACTCACGTACAAACCCATTGGTTGCCAACAACGTTACTGTTTTGCAACCTCACCAGTTAGAGGACGGCAGGTAAAAAGCAGAAGTGAAGCTACAAGAGATATCAATCTTTGTAGTGATGGAATGCAAGCGCAGTCTCAAGGCTAAACGTGCCGATGCCGGGTTCCCCCCGCCTGATGAGAGGACCTTAAACTGCGCGACGGGTCGTCAGCGTGCAGTATGCCGCGCATCAACGAACAGCAGAAAGTCAATCTGTTTGCGGTGAACGTGCTTGCTGCCTGCGCAATGGAGGCTACTGGCAATAGCTAAACTGCTTTTAACGACGTGTTCGCAATGTTGTCGTGGTCTCTGCTCGAAAATGTGGCAGCCTTACGTGAAAAAGAAAAGTGACACCTCGGCATTCGCGAAGCCTCGAAATTGATGAGCGAGGGAGCAAGTTTGGTTCCTGACATTTACGGGTAACTCATTCTGGACAAGCCGGAAACATCGGCGTGTTATTCGACAGATCGCGGATGACGCGCACACATTCGTCGCACATCGCCGTCAGTACAGTCACCAAACTGATAAGCGGCCTCGCGGCAGACCACCAAACTGATAAGCGGCCTCGCGGCAGACGAGCACACGGCGACAACTTGCTACAAGACTAGAAGAAACGACACGCTCGTGCACACAATTAGTCCTATTACATTTCTGGTGCATATTAACTGACTAAAAGTTTGTGTGCCATGATATTTTTCACTCGGAACGCCGAAATGAAATTTTAACAGCATTACTCTCGAAGCACAGGTTTCGACCACTTTCTTTTGCTTGTTCAGTGAAAGTGGACCTAGGACAGCTAGAGCTGTAATTGTTTTTGCATAATGTAGCTAAATGTGCACAAAAAAATAATGCTGAGTGCCTATTTTTAATGGTCAGCTTCATTTTTTTAGTTTAAAATTTTTTGTTCTTGGTTACATGCAATCAACTTTATTGTGCTGTAATTCGAGAAGTACTCGTTCAATTGATTTTATTTGATTGATATGTGGGGCTTAACGTTCCAAAACCACCATATGATTATGAGAGACGCCGTAGTAGAGGGCTCCGGAAATTTCGACCACCTGGGGTTCTTTAACGTGCACCCAAATCTGAGCACCCGGGCCTACAACATTACCGCCTCCATCGGAACTGCAGCCGCCTCAGCCGGGATACGAACCCGCGACCTGTGGGTCAGCAGCAGAGTACCTTAGCCACTAGACCATCGCGGCGGGGCAGTGCTCGTTCAATTATAGATCAGCTTGCAGCTTTGAACTCCTTAGGCTTTCTAGTATCCATATATATGTTAATGACTATGTAATTCTAAGTACATATATTGTTATGGTTAAAAATGTTAGAATTCTTTATTTTCTTGATTTTTTGAATATGGCAATTTTGTACACCCTGCATAAAAATTCCTGCAATATATCGGAAACTATTACAGATAGCAGAATAACTTTGTTTTTTTTTTTTTTTTTGCAGCATGAAGCTATACGTTTGGAGCACACAACATAGGAAGCAGATTTTTATTTTTCTTAATGCAAGTTTTTTTTTTTTTTTTTTTAAATTGGCCACATTCAGAGCTATGAAGTTTATTGTACTGTAAAGTAAAAAATAATGACTCAATCAAAAAAGTGCTTCCTATATTGTGTAGCTTGTGCTTTCTAGTGTTGAACCCTATGCTATTTGTAAATTTCGGACTGGTCGCTATTTTTATATTGTGGTAAGAAAAATAGATATTGTTATCTTAATTAAATAAAGAACTAATGAAGCTGTAGAAAAGATAACTACATATTTAGAATATGAAGAACAGACTGAGTAAGCTTGCAAACTTTTGTCACATTCGGTTCAAAAATAAATGAGACAGCCCTAAGACTCATGTCCCCCCTTAAATGACAAATCCCTCCAGTAACAAACGGGCTTGTTCGTTGCAGCTTTCACCGAAAACCTTTGTCTCGCGCAATTCCTAACCACCCAATAGCTCACATGGTACACCAAGTGCGTTCGTTCCTTCTTTTCATGTTCAAACAGAAAATACTTAACTATATGGCTCTTTCCCCCTCTCCCAATCCCACCTAAGAAAGAAGTTTTTCAAGGACGCCACTTGCCTTCATGTGACGTGCCACGATGGGGACTTTATCGGCCAACTCCTGGGAGAGGGCATTAAGCTGCTGCTGCAGCACATCTTTCTCGCTGATGGCCTGTGCCAGCGCTCGCTGTTGCTCCAGCCGTTCTGACAGCAGCTCAGTCAGGCTCAGTCCAGAGTCCCGCGCCAGGCCAGACACATGTGCGGCAGGGAACAGCTTCTCCACAATGCTGCCTACACATACCCATAACCCAGATAAATGCTGGTACACATGGTGAAACGTGATCTATAGATTGTTTAGTTTGCGCATTTATACCTACTGCAATGCTATTATAAGCATGCAGCAGCGGGATTTCACAGAGAGCAGCCAATTAGCGCAGTTGCAGAATTGCCCCCAGATATGCAATGTGCTCCACTTCAGTACCTTTATGGATGATCCACGCTTTGTCATAATGACAGAAGCAATCCTGACAGGTTTACAATGACTAGCTAAAAAACCTTCAAAATCATTTGCATCACTTGTGTTTTTTACATTGTTCCCACGTTCCCTAGACCTATCTAACAAATATTTCGTTTTGACCTACTTTATTGCCCTTTAATGTGCAAATAAAGCCCAACCTAAGCAGCACTTCCACCATTAAGAAGAACAAACAGCGGATCAGCCGTGAAATTATTAATAAAACAGAATGCAACACGTATCTGGGAGAGGGTTGTGTATGCATGGCATGCCTACAACTTACTGACGAGATGGCGTACCTACGCATGTGAAGTAAATGGAGTCTGCGCTGGACCACATTAACACATGCAATTTTTCCAATAAAAATTGCTGAAAGTTCAGCGCTCATTGTTTGTGTTCCTTCTGTCTGGTGTGTGCTTTTCCATTGTAGCAAGACAGAATTACGTACCAACAAGCCCAACTTTCCGCTTTAAGCAAAATATTAACAACATACACTACTTGGAAGCTGTTCTATGTAAATTTGGAAAATTGCGTGCCCGATTGACCACCATACGCCGCACCTTACAGCAATAACACTCTCCAAATGACTGGTGCACAAATCTCAAAGTGTCCAATAAGTAGACATGTCCAGTTTGGTTAAGGACGTTCAGTTACACAAAAAAATTACGAGTCATGATGGCATGGCGCTTATGACCGCATCAACATATCAAACTTGCCAACACATTCCCAGCATAACTAGAAAGAAAGTGGGTGAAACGTACCGGAAGAGGATTCTTAAATAAACATGACGAGTCTGAACTCTCGTATGAACGTGTTGAGATGCTTGAAGAATAATGCAAGGAATATGTACAAACCTTCCAGATGCGTCAGGCGGGTGGTTGCGTGAAACTTATTTCAAGGGCTAATGGGATTAGAGTTCATGAACAGCCTACGAGATGTGCATCAGAGAGCAAATCTCTGGGGGCAGCATTTGTTGCGGCGAAACGCATTCAGTCTTTCCCGTTTCTGTCGAGAGTAGTGAAAGCTCTGTCGCGCCACAACGCCATTGCGGAAAAATGACTGAAAACAGGCAGCATGCTGCTTGCGGAGCTGCAGCCAATAAGTGTAAGCCGAAGTGGACATGTCCACTGCGGGAATGGCTCCCCTGGATGACGAAGCCCCTACTTCTCCCACATGACCACACTGCAGCAAATAAAAGTCATGATGACGTCATAGAAGCCATTACTCTTTTGTCACGTTTGCACCAGCAGACTTCTCCGCAACTGCTCATGATTGCAGCACACGCGCTGTGGGGCCTTGAAATGAGGACGCCCTGAAAACACACGGACATAGTAGACGCGGTCAGGCAAACCAAACACATGTGTACATTTATTCACTTGCTTTTACGATGACAATTTATTTATCATATTGTTACGGAAAAGAAGAGACGCCGTATCCACGAGGCTGTGGAATAGATGTATTTTAAACCAGCGGTAATGGCGTGACCAGTTCACCAGCGAGCGAGCGAAGACCACCCTTCGTCTTCGTCGTCAGGCACACACGCGCGTCGCCCCTGGAATCTCAGTATGCATGCATGTAGCATAATCCCCGGCGGCAGAAGCGCCGTCTCGGCGCATCTAAATGATATCAAGAGGAGAGTGGTAGGGCTTCAAGCGCGCAACATGTACAATATCGGTAGCCTGTTGGGCACATGAAGACGACGAGGCGACAGGACCTATTTCATATGTCATAGGAGTAACGATACGAAGGACTCGGTATGGACCTGTGTAGGGAGTAAGCAGTTTTTCTGACAAGCCAACTCGACGGGTCGGAGACCAGAGCAGGACCAAAGAACCGGGCGGAAAGTGTACGTCGCGGTGTCGTTGGTCATACAGACGCCGTTGCTTCTCTTGAGAGGTCAGAAGGAGAGTACGGGTGATTTCGCATGCGTGAGCGGCCTAAGTGATAGCGTCCATGGCATATTCACTGGTCGGTACTGCAGGGGACGGTATGACGGTGTCTAGAGGCAATGTTGGTTCTCGGCCAAACAGCAGAAAAAATGGAGAGTAACCGGCAGTGTCATGGCACGAAAATTTATAGGCAAATGTGACGTACGGCAACACAAGATCCCAGTCGGTGTGGTCGGTAGAAACATACTTAGCGAGCATGTCTGTAAGAGTTTGATTTAGACACTCCGTGAGTCCGTTGGTTTGCGGATGGTATGACGTGGTCAGCTTGTGTCTCGTTTGACAGGACTGCAAGATGTCGGCTATGACCTTCGACAAAAAGGTGCGGCCACGGTCTGTAAGCAGCTGCCGTGGGGCTCCGTGTTGCGAAATCCGACCTTGAGAAGGAAGTCGGCGACGTCTGTGGCGCAGCTTATTGGAAGAGCTCGTGTGATGGCATAACGCGTGGCGTAGTCGGTGCCCACAGCTATCCACTTGTTACCCGAGGAAGACAAGGGGAAAGGGCCAAGTAGGTCCAAGCCAACGCGGAAGAACGGTTTTGACACAATGTCAAGTGGTTGAAGGCGTCCGGCGGGAAGTGTCGATGGCGTTTTGCGGCACTGACATTTCTCACAAGTCGCAACGTATCTTCAAACTGGGCGTGCAAGCCCTGGCCAGAAGAAGCGTCGGTGTATTCGATCGTAAGTGCATGACACACCAAGGTGACCAGCAGTCGAAAGGTCATGAAGTTCATTGACAACTTTGAGCGAAGGTGTTTCGGAATGACAAGCGGTAGGGCCGGTCCATCCGGCTCAAAACTTTGGTGGTATAATACACCATCGTGGAGCATGAATGAGCGATCGAACTGATTGGAAGATGGGGATTCGAGGCGCTCAATGACAGCACGCAAGGACGCATCATGGCGCTGCTCGTCACCGATGGATGTCATTTGCGAAAGGGAAAAGACGCTAGGCTCGTTGTCGGTGTCAGGCATAGTGCTTGACTTAGCAACCGGGTAGCGGGACAGGCAGTCTGCGTCCTGATGTAGGCGTCCGGACTTGTACGTCACCGTGTTGGTTGTGGAGATAGGTTTGCACTAGGCCTACCTACTAAGCGCAACCGTGTAAGGAAGCGACGTCCTCCACTGCTGCTGCGTGCAACGACAGTGCGGCCGGGTTCATCGTTTTCTCCGACACGGCGCAGAAACCACGCACGAGGCAGGAAAACAAGAATTTAAGATGCAGCACAGTGCGACACTCACGGGCTTGCAGGCTGTATAGGGAACTCCGCAAGACCTAGCAAGTACGCTTGCCTAAGGCGCGACGACTCCCGCACAAGGGTCGAAGTCGAACGCACAAACGAGAAGCCGCCTGCTTAGCAGCGCGTCAACCCCTCGTGAAGGCCTGAGAGCATCTGCCGCGACGAGCGAATCGTCGGGCGCAACACAGCTCATAGGAGAGAAGGATGTCACGCGCGCCCAATGGGAAACGGCGCTGCGTTGTGACGTAGGCCCGCGCAGCGGACATGCCAGCGCGGGAAGGAGCCGACGGTTGACTGGCCCAAACCAAGAGGCGCCCTGGCAGCCATCTTGGCGGATGCCGGTGCTTATGCACGCCCGGGCTACACTGTCGGCGCGCGCGCGGCAGCTGTGGAACGAGGCGCCAGGTAGGAGGGCGCCCTAAAGACGCCGTAATAAAAGCATCCACCGACACTTTTATTCAAAACAACTGAGGTCCAGCTCAGTGCCATCCACGAGATCGACGGGGGCCCCGGTGTCTTCGTTCGGCGGCGTCTCAGCAGGAACCAGGGGCCGCGGGAGGATGGCAGACACCGCAGCAGCGATGGCAGACTTGAATGACGAGTCCGTGACGAGCGCCACCACGACCGCCTGAACGGAGTCGGTCGACAGGGCAGGTTGAAGGCCCGGGCCAGGCGACACCATCAGAGTGGACAGGACCGCAGGGGCACCGCCGGACTTCGTTCGGTGAACCCGCGAACGGAGGTGGGTAGCCTTGTGCACCAGCAGGACACCGCAAGCGTCGCAGTAGGAGGCCTCGGGAACAGGCGGCATCGAGGCACCTCCGGAAGCGTCGGGCAGGTGCGAAAGGGTGCGTCCCCGGAAAGGACGCGGGACGGACTCGGGGTCAAACCCCACCTAGACTTTGCGTTGCTTGGACCAGCGACGAGTCCACACGAAGGCGACCAGGGCCTTAGTGCCGTGTTGGAACGTCCACGTAGCGACTTCACGACACGGCGGTGTCTTGTTAGCCAGGGCCGGGGGAGCATTCGACGGAGGCGGCATGGATGCGGCCGGTGCCTGCGGAACGACCGAGCGCGCGACTGGTCTCCCAGGCTTTTTCTTGTAGGAACGGGCCATCAAGGAGGACATCACAAATGCTGGGGTGTCAGTGAAAAGCAGAAACGCACTGAAGGTGCGGCCCCGGAGGCGCGAGGAGCGGAGTTTCACGAGGAGCGGTGTTTTGTCGGTTCCAGTCATGTTTACGCAAAACGCCACTGATATTCTGTCTTTTGCATGCTTGCGGCCGGTGCACGTCTCGCCTTTGAACGCGAGCGTTTTTCTGGTAGCAGCTTAAAGAATAGCGCCGATTCGTCCATATTACAGATGTCATCAGGTGCGTAGTCTTCCAAGATGTTCTTCAGCTGACCATTTTGCCACTGCTCCGCACCATCCATGTCAGCAGCAGCACCTTTTCCCGAAACAGTACTCGTCGTAATGCCGTGCCTCGCCTTAAATCTGGCCAGCCAGCCATTACTGCACACGAAGTTGTCATGGTTGAGCTGCGAGGCAAAAACCGGGGCCTTCTCCACGAGCAGGGGTCCGCTGATAGGCA